AGCCATTTTGACTACAGCAGTCTCTTAGTCTCCTGTCTAGTTCCTGTCCTCCTAGCTCCTGGTTTCTCTCTCTTTCTCTCTTGCTTTGCAATCAGTGAAATTCCCCCTTCTCTCCTCTCATGGCTTGGTTCGGGCTGGATCATTCCAGATGCCTCTAGCTATGCTCTTCCTTCTACAATAAACCTTCTCCTCCACAGTACATAGGAGCATCATGCCCTCATTTCATTTCTCTTCATTCATTTCTCTCCTTCTCTCCCTGTCCCTTCCTTTCCCTCTCCCCTCTTTCTCAGCCACCATGAGGTGAGCCACTTTAATCAACCCATGTCCCCTACCATGGTGGTCTGTCTCACAAGGAATGGTAAGGCCCCTTAACAGTTGAGTGCAACCACAAGTCAAGACACATCTTTGCTTCCTTAAGATGTTATCTCTTGGGCATTTTTCAAAATGATGGAGATCATTTTGAAACAGACCAGTGATATTGTTAGCTGTTTTTCTCAAGGCTGGGCTTAACTCTCCAATTACTAGACTATTTTGCTCAACTATAAAGAATAACTTATAAATTTTGTTACAAAGAAATACAAATAATTTCTGACTGGGAGGCCTAAATATTATAGTTTATGATCCTGTGAAGAAAAGTAAGCCATTTGTATATTACTTGTAACCAGGCAGGTCATGAAATTGCCTTTGCATACCTGGCTTCTGGGACAGTTTTAAATCTGATTCCTTCCTCATTGGTTAATGAGTTGAACCACATTTCTGAAATATGCCGGTTTGCTATCTACATAAGGCACGTGCTTTTATGAACAAGCAACTCAATTCTGCCTCCAGGGATTTGACTTCTTCATCTGTTAAAAGATGCATTAGTTCCAGAGGACCTCTGAAAGATACACGAAGATATTTGACTCACTAAAGCCCCCTGGGACCTCTTCCTCCTCCTTTCCAGCAGCTTAGGGTCTCCATGGAAAAGCCATTCACTCTCTGTGTGGGCAATAAGGATTAATGGCAATCTCACTCCCTGCTGTCCCCGCCCTCTAGCCCCCCCCCCCCAAAGTATGTTAGGACCCTTGAAGGCCTTCAGGAACTCTGGAGTTCTTTGGAAGGTTTCTCAGAACCAGAGAGTGTTGTTTTGTTTTGCCCAGTTTCCTCCGTTCTTCTAACACCTGGCTCTTCTTGTGACATGGAGCTAATCCGACTTCTGAACTATGGCTTTTAGTTCAGTCCCGAGGCCCAGGTCATTACCCCTGAGGCTTCACATGTCTGACATCCTTAAATGGAAGTCTGTGCCTTTGAGTCCCAGCTGAGTAACCAGGGTCAAACAGCTGCCCCCTTTGCTCTGCCTGGATCAGGATTTCACTGGGAAATCAGTTTTGAGTCACATCAGATGGCTCTGTCCTTCTGTGTCTCCAGAGACAGCTCTCCTGCTGTTTGGCCTAAGGATGTTTGGAGTCTCACGTCTTGTTCACCAGAGTGAACTTGTGGAGGATGTTTGGGGCCAGAACAGCATGAACAGTGTGTGAAGAGAGGCCAGGGACTACATTAGCATCTTTGGGATCTGTAGCTTTTAGCCTTGGGCTACGATTACTGACCCCCACAGGGAAAAGCTTATCCTTTTTAGAGGATGCCTGATCCTGTAACCGCACCTGCTCAGGTCAAATGGCTGTTTGCTTGAGAATATTCTGTATCAGACCCTAACTTGGCTGCCTGGCTTAACTAATAGCACTCGCTGCTGGCTCAGGGGACACCACTGAAATTTCTCCTTCTGTGCTGCTCCAATTCATCACTGTAGGAATCAGGTCAACTCTCTCGTATGGAAACAGAGTGTCACTCCCCAGGCTGCTGGCCATATCCTGGGTCCTCACACTCTGGGGCTGATGTTATTGATAGTTGGTGGCATATGGTGATAATAAAAAAACGACACACTTTTGTTTTTATCAGTTTTGTTATGGATTCAAAATTCACTCCAATCAGTGGGACACACTATGCCTATGGTAGAGTCCAATCATGCCTGCCACAACTGTTGCTTTTGTTCTTTTTCTCGATGCTGTGATCAGGCACCCAACAGAAAGCTGCCTAATGAGAGGAGGGTTCATATTTGTGTACAGTTCAGAGGAATGTAGTCCTTCATGGAAAGCATGGTGGTGAGAAGGGCTTACTCCATGACACTGACTAGGAAGCAGGAAGAAGAGAATGTAAGCGCTCAACTGGCTTTCACCAATTTTCCCAGGTTTTTTTTTTTTTTTTTTTTTTTTTTTTTTTTTTTTTTCCGAGACAGGGTTTCTCCGTAGCTTTTTGGTTCCTGTCCTGGAACTAGCTCTTGTAGACCAGGCTGGCCTCGAACTCACAGAGATCCGCCTGCCTCTGTCTCCCGAGTGCTGGAATTAAAGGTGTGCACCACCACCGCCCGGCTCCAATTTTCCCTTTAACTTGGATCCAGGTCCCAGAGCATTGATGCTTCTGCTCAACCTCACAACGAGTCGCCCATTCTCATTTAACGCTATCACAGATTAAACACACAAGACTGTGCTTCATGGATGTCCTTTAAAAAAAAAAATCCAATCCAGTTTGTGTTCAAAATTAGCCATCACAATCATCACCCTGGGCTAATGGACTTAGATCTTCACAGTGTAAGTAATGATAGCCTCGAGTTGTTGTGTTATTGAGCAACTAGAACATCCTCTGTCTTTGAATTCCACAAGAGCGATCACATCTAAAACACAGTTGACAAAAAGCAAGAGAACAAGAGAAACCAAGGGAATTTGAGAAGAGAAAGGGAAGAAGTACAGAATGCAAAACCTAAATAAATAGGGATGAGCTGCGGGCGGGGTCTGGAAACACAAAATGGACTGAGATGCGGGGGCGGGGTCTGGAAACACCAAATGGACTGAGATGCAGGGGTGGGGTCTGGAAACACCAAATGGACTATCTTTTTTTTTTTTTTAATCACAGTCACGTATGTGCATAGCTTAAGAAATGCAATTTTGCCTGGCATGGTCATGCACACCTTTAATCCCAGCACTCAGGAGACAGAGGCCTGCAGATCTCTACCAATTGTAGGCCTGCCCAGTCCTCATAGGGAGTTCCATGATGGCCAGTGATGCAGAGAGAGGAGGAAGGAAACATATAGTTTATATGTTTAAAATAGATATGTGTATATAATGTAAAAATATGATCATTCATATTACAATATATCTGCCTCCTCATTTAGCAGTATAAAATAAACAGGTGAAGTATCCCAGTTGCCCACCCAATCCCAGACTTCCCATATGTGTGTCTGTGTGTCTCTCTGTTCTTCATTCCCTCATTGCTCCAATCAGATAGAGTCCACCCCCCCCCCCCCCGCCTGTGACAGTAATACTTTTAGGTTGACCATCTGAATTCCACCACCTCTCAATGAACAGATTCACCAGCTAAGAACCAAACTTCTAACACACAAGCTTTTCCAAAAACCACTTAAAACCTCAAAGTATAACAGATAGGAAACTTAGAGACAGTGAGATAGGAGGAAGAGAAGCGTGAATGGATTTTTAAGGTGGACACAAAGTGTAAAAAACAAACACAAAAAACATGTGTTATGTTAATGTCTTCCAGAAAGTAACCACTAGAGAAAAGACCCTAAACCATCCAAGTAGATAGAGTGACTGACTTTAGGAGTCTCTGTCATTCATTGTTTTAGTACTGGTACTTTGGATACATGAGTGGACAAGCCATAAAAGTGGGAATGGAGACTATGAATCGGTCCCATAGAATGGATTTCTATTAAATAAGACTAATATACATATTACTTCTGACTTCTAAGTTTGTCATGACCATATGAGCCCGCAACACACTACTCTCCACTGAGTATACAAACCAGATCATTGGTGGCAAGCTAGCTACATTACAATACACCCAAAGTGGGCTGGACTACCCTTATTAATCACTGATCAAGAAAATGCCCCACTGACTTGCCTGTGGGAATCTGATGGAGGCGGTCTCTCCTTTGACTCTCCTCTTCCCAGATGAGCCCTGCTTATGCCATCTTATTGCTGCTGAACAAATGACCACAACCTTAGTACCTCAGTGCAGGCTTACCACCTAGTAGTTCTGGAGGTCAGATATCCAAAGTCATCCTTGCTAAGCTAATGTCATGTTAACGGGCAGGACAGCAAAAGGACTCAGCTAGTAAAAGTGCCTGCAGCGAAGCCTGACATGAGTTCAATCTCCAGAATTCCCAGAACACATGTGATGGACAGAGAAAACTGACTCCAGAAAGTGACCATGTCATAGGCAGAAGTTTCTGTCCCACCAGCAGCTCCCAAATAAATACTCTGAGGTTTATATTAATTATAAACACTCAACTGATAGATTAGGCTTCTTATTAACAAGCTCTTCCAACTTAACCCATCTCCGTTCATCTATGTGATGCCCCAAGGCTCATGGCTTTGACCTCTATCCCATTTTGTGTGTCCAACACATTCTGTTTCTGACTGGCGACTCCCAAGACTCTGCCCTTCTTTACCCAACATCTTTTGTTTGGTTGTCACACCTATACTTCTTGTCTGGCCAACTGCCAGTCAGTTCTTTTATTATCCAATGAAAGCAATACATATTTATAGGATACAGAAGGATTATTCCATAGCATTTCCCCCTTTTTATCTAATTAAAAAGGAAGATTATATCCTTAACATAGCAAAATTATATATAATAAAAAACAGTTATTAACTAATAATTACAGTTATAATATCTTGTCCAGTTGTATTTGGCAAGTTCAAAGAAAATACTCTTATTATTTATCTTATCTTTGTAAGTCTAAAGTTTTATACTTAATTTACCTTTTATCATAACTAAGGAAAACTTTAACTATGACTATCTAGTCTTCAACTCCATCAAAGACCCCAGAAAGGTGAAATGTTAACCTAATGACAGGGACATCTGGCTGTCTGGGTGGTCACCCTTGGTTCTTCTGTGACATTTGTTCAGCTTTTTTTCTGACTATTACCAATAACAATTTATAACCAATCCCTTTAAATAATAATAAACATTCATAATCTATATTTTGGGTACGTGGGCTTTGTTTCCTTTAGACTGCTTCCCATTGTCTGGGGCTGCTGGTATCTTTAGAGGACCCTTGAGAAAAAATCAAGATAATTGTTAGGTCTTGGCTGGAGTATTCTGTGAGGCTGAGTCATCTGTCAGCAGCCTTGAAGTTGTTTTGAATGCTGGATCACTTGGGCCATTCATTTTCATTGGTGTCTGGTTTCTTTGCTCTGAAAATACATAAACTTTTAAAGGTAACATACATACCTGCACTAATACAGGTAAAGGTTGTGCATTGTACACAAGTCAGCCAAAGATGATATTTTGGTTATGTATTTTAGTAGGCAAAATATATATCACAGGTCTTGTCATTCTTCTAGGTTTATTTCTCTATGTTTGTAGTCAGAATTTCAGGGGGTCTTCCTCAACCAAACCTGATCATCTTTAACCTGAAATGAATCCACATTTTCTGTGAAAATAAAAGCATAACCTCTCCCCCAAAGTAACACACCTTTTGACTTAAATTTTGAACTCAACACATTTTTAAAATATATAGGTTGTGTTTTATCTAGCAGTTTTTAAAATCCAGTGTCCCTTGGCAGCTAAAATATTTAAAGACAACACAAATAGTAACATACAGAATTCAGACTTTCTTTGTAAGTCCTGTCTTTGTGTAGCTTTTTCTTTTATATTACTTTACCCACTTTTTAAGCACTTTATTATTTTAAAACTATATATTTCTTTTTTAAGACTCTCTATACCTTCTCTTATCTCTCCTAATCCTACGTATATTTTTAAACACACTGTAACCTGTTTAGAGGGTTTTTTTTTCTATCTGAATCTGTCTTTACTGTGTATCTGTGATTTTTTTTTTTCTGACCTCATGAGACGAATCTTAAAATACATCAAGTGTAGCTTAGCTTAGTGCACGGTGGCTGGCTCTTCCCACAGGCAGCTGCCAAGAGCCACTTTTCTGTATATGACTGTGCTCATAGCCAGCCTGAGAGACTGCAGGAACCTGCCACTCAGCTCATCTCAGGGTGCACTGGCAGCTCAAGATTGCAGGCAGCGGCCAGGAGATGCGACCCTGTACCACAGCTGGCATGAGAGACATGAAACTAGACAGATGCCTTTGGCTCTGTGTCTGTGTATTTAGAACCTTTTTATAAAGCTTTCTCAGGTCTTATGTGGAAATTCTGGCCCCACGTTGGAATGCCATTTGTAGGCAAAGTTTCTATCCTGCCAGCAACCCCCAAATAAACACACTGAGGCATATATTAAATATAAATGCTCAACTGATAGCTCAGGCTTGTTACTATCTCTTACAACTTAATCTATTTCTATTAATCTATGTACTGCCCCAGGGCTCATATCTTTTACTTCTATTTTGTGTTTCTGACTTGTTCTCATCTGGCTGGCAACTCCCACGATGCTGCCCTTCTGCATCCCAGCATCCTTAGCTTGGTTGTCACACCCATACTGGCTACCTGCCAGTCAGTTCTTTTATTAACCAATGAGAGTACTGCATATTTACAGTGTACAGAAGGATCAGTTCACAGCACCACACCATAAACTTCACATGCCCTTCCATAGCACTATCACCCAGAGGCCAAGCCTTCAAAATTAATCTTCTGATGGACCTTGACTGAAAAGATGAACAGAAGGACCTTTTGTTATTCAACCTGAGAACGCAAGACAATTTACTCCAAGATCTTTCAATTTTATCATGTCTCCAAAATCTATTCTTCAAAATACACAAGTCACAAGTTCTAGAGGGTAAGGGCGGTTTTGGTGGGGGGAGCATTATTCAGTCTGTCACAGTACATTTACGATAATACTCAGGACCTTGTCAAGATTTAATCAATATAACTTGATAACAATAAGTGTGCAAGCAAATACAGATGGTTCAGTGACTTAGTAAGAATTTGTTTTAAACTCCACTATGTATATGTCATGTTCTAGGCTATTTTCAGAGCCTGTCTAGGAAACCAGGTTTATTTTACATACTTGGCCTTTCTTGATCTCAAATCAAGTCATTGTCATGTTAAAATGATATCCATTTTATGGATAACTCTAGAATTAAAACAAGATGATAAGTCTATTACAGAAAGATTAGACGAAAAAGGATAATTGCTCCAAGAGACAAAGCGGCAAAAAGCCCTCCGATATTGAGCTCTCTGTGTTCCTGAACATGCACATTTTCAGAATATGTGCTTGCAGGCTGAGATAAAAAATTGAGACTCTGTGGTGGGGGTGAACTGTGGCTCTTTGGTGGGGAAGAACCGTGGCTCTGTGGTGGGGATGAACTGTGGCTCTTTGTTGAGAAAGAACTGTGGCTCTTTGGTGGGGAAGAACCGTGGCTCTTTGGTGAATAAGAACTGTGGCTCTGTGGTGCGGATGAACTGAGGCTCTTTGCTGAGAAAGAACAGTGGCTCTGTGGTGGGAAAGAACCGTGGCTCTTTGGTGGGGAAGAACCGTGGCTCTGGGATGGGAAAGAACTGCAGCTCTTTGGTGGAGGAGATGGGGATTTGAGTGGCTTTGCTTTGTATGCACACCCTCCATGGGGGTCCAGAGTGCATGCCTCACAATTGGCTCTGTCATGGGGTCCATCCAAAAGCACCCCTTCATTTGAAGTTGATGTTATTTTCTTGAGGCCATGTCCATAGTATTTCTGCAAAATATAACTAACCAGCTTCTCCAGAACTCTTTGGATGCTCTCTTCAGAGAACCCAGGATTCTCAAATTTAGCCTCAGAACACTTCTGGCACCTCTGAGCAAAGATCCTCATGAGCACCCGGCCCTGAAGTTTACTAGGCTCGCGGTTCATGTGGCACAGGATCTTCACTTGGGCAGAAACCCAGTATCTGTTGCATATGGAACACTGGAACCTGTAGGCAGAACAAAGAAGCCCATGGTATCCTTAGCTCAGGTCTGAGAGACAATGGTCAGCTAGGAATTCTAGGAATCCCTTTCATATGGTTTTGAATGACCTGGTCACAGAGAAGCAAGAACAAGGGGCACTGTGTTTTAGATGCTTTCCTGTTACTACTGAGCCTGCATCTTTGATAGTAAAAGCCTCTCTGGTAGTCTTTAAAAAAAAAAAAGAAGAGAATTTGCAGGGAGTCAGTGGCAGTGCATGCCTTTAATCTCAGACCTAGGAGGGCAGAGGCAGACGGATTTGTGTTCGAGGCCAGCCTGGTCTACAAAGTGAGTTCCAGGAGTGTCAGGGCTGTTCACACGCACACACACACACACACACACACACACACACACACACACACACACAAGAGAGAATTGTTATTATGTGCATAAAACATTCTTCACGATGACACAAAACTTCTATAAACTGCCTATTGAGAGGCAGGCAATACTGCTGCCTTTCAGTGTTGGTTCTCTTCCTCTGTCGGTCATTTCTCACAGGTACTGCAAGAAAAGCAAATAATAAAATGTACACACAACTTGGGATATACAAAGCAAGTGGGGGAGGGTTCTTTCCTCAGCCGAGGCCATGCAAACCAACCTTATTCATCTACCTACTACAACGCATACCTCTACTGAGCAACATCTTAGGGACAGATTAGAATGTGTGGCAATGTATTGCCCAAGGTTCATATGGGGTAGGGCACACTGGGCTTGAGATAGGGCAAGGGTGAGCAGGCAGCAGCACAGATGAGGGGGTCGGAAAAAACTGCGGGCCCTAGGGGCCCTGGAAAAGGCGCTAGAGTTCTAGAGACAGGGGTTTAGCTTCCCAGGCCAGCCATTCTTACTGTCCTGACAAGGTAAGGAAAACTGTTCCTACAACCTGGAGCTTGACTGGGACCGCAGGGAGGGCAGCCGATAAAGAAAGGGCGTTCCTCAGACACTCGGGCCTGGGCTTTAGCTTTCTCTCTTTTTATCCACAGGCTTTCTGTAAAACAATGTGCAATATGGCTACTTGTATTTAGTTGACGCTTAGGAACTAGCCCTGAGCAGAGGTCAGGCAAGGAGTCTTACTGTAGCCTGAAGGGACTGGTCAGTGTTAATATAGGAGACTCCCTCAAAATTTGACTCTCCCTTCCCTCCCCTGCCCTCCATTTTTCAATTGCAGCTCCCTGCAGGAAATGCCACGCTGGGAGTGGAGAGGGCTTGTTCTAGAAGTTCTGGCCCCCGAGTAAGATATTTGTGTCTCCAGAGACGGTCAAATCTCACAGATTCCACAACTAAATCTATGAGGTAGAACAGCAATAAAGGCCCATTAAGAGCAAACTCCTTTTTGTCAAGAGAATAGAATCTCTGGTCTGGGTAGATAGGTAACGTTTCAGCTGGATCAGCCAAGCACCTAGCTAATTGAACAACCACCACTGAGAAGATGGGTTCACCTTAAACCATGCTGTTGGGGTTATCTCCTGGAGCTGCCCTCCAAACCCCGCCCTCAGCTGTCGCCTCCAAAACCCACCCCTGAGAAAGCCCACCAAGAATCAGCCCCTCCCCTGGGCTACTCGGGTCATTTAATGCATGCAGGCTATTTAAGACCTGGTTGTCATATTTGCCATGTGATTCCTCCCCTGCTTTCCCAAGAGTCACCCAGGAGTTGCTTTGCTCTGCTCTGTTTATTAAACCTGGATTTATTAATTCAACTTGATTGGCTTATTACATGGGCAGCAGAGGATATCCAATGACTAGGGATTCAGTACTTATCACATGCTAGAGGGATAATGTGGGATATCCTTTTAATGATATTGTCATTTCCTTCCCAGAATTCCTGCTCCTTATGGCCGCAGCTTACAAAACCCAGCTCAGCAACTCTCCTTGCCTGGCTTCACGAGCCTGTTCACTTTTCTGAATTACTCGGGCAAACATAACTTTCCCTTTTCTCCTTGCCACCTCGGTCCTACGCATGCTTTCTGTGACACTGGCCTTGCTTACTTGCTCTCTTTATGTCCCACTTCTGCCGTGTGGCCATCCACCATGGCACAGCTCCACAGCAACTTAACTCATAGGGTAGGGCCTTCTGCCCCTTCTTCCTTCCCCTCCTCCAGGCAGCCACTGAGATTTATAGCTTGCCTACCCAATGGCTTTACTTTGAAACAAATAAAATGGCCCTCAAGCTTCCATTTGAGTGTCCTGTCCATTGTAAGATTCTTTTACTGAAGAAATTAAGAACACCAAGAAGGATGCTTACTTCCCCTGGTGTCCTCAAGTACCTATAGAGGGGACCCCCAACATTTCTGGTAACATGCTCATTCCGATTCTGTCTTGTTGTTTCTATAAACGCCAACACTACTGCATGGAAGACAGAGACAGGTTAAGAACAGCCCTGACCCCCATTTGGACCCAAATTGTAGATAAATCTATTTCTCCATCGTAAGTATTTTACTATGTTTTCTCTTGATAAGAGGGGTAAGCAGCTGGATCCAAGGCCAGGCCTGTTCTAGCTGGAGATTCAATTAAGAGAGAAGGTTGGAACAATTTGAGAAAAATTTGGAGGTACTCTCCACAGACTCTAGAACTATTATAGTAAGTAGACCTGGTAGGACAAAAAGACTTCCTGCATTAAACAAGGTGGAGGGTTGGCGTCTAGGGGCCCCCAACCAGCCCTGTAACCACAGAAGACTGGGGGACCCACCCAGTCACATTTGTTCTCCCCCCCCCCTTTTTTTTTGTAAGAGCAAATTGGCAGTAGCTATTCTGCGCTGAGTGGGACCTTCAGGAGGACCGACAATCTGCCCAACCCCCACTCACCTGCCAACTCCTGCCTGCTGGTACTGCCTCCATCCCATGGTCAAGTTATCCGGCAAAATATTCTTATCCAGCTGCAAGGTCCACTTGGCCCTGGGTTTCTCCTCCTGAATCAGCTCTTGAAACATCTGCTCCCAGGTACTGGGATCTGAGAATGACATTGGAGGTGAACGCTGAGATCTAGGCATAGTGAGTAGCTTGCTGTCTTGCTCAATTCTGGCAGAGAGAGAGAGGGGAAAAAAAGAGAGAACAGTTTCGTTTTCTGGCTCTCTGTTAACTTTCAGTTTCCATTTCCTGCCTTTAGCTTTTGGTTTCCAAGGTGCACAGAACAGTTTTTCATTGGAAAGGCCGAAGGCAGCAGAGAGCTGCCGCCGTGTGCAGGGGCCAAGCTGAACCACCCAGAGCAGCAAGCTCTGTTTGCTGGCTAGGGACTGGTGTGTGGGGATCTTTAGTTCATTTTTTTTCCTCTTTTAAAAGTTTGATTGTAAACAAAGCACTGATGTGGGGACTGAAGTAAAGGACGCCTAGTGACCCAGACACAGTGCTTGCTCCAACAGATGCTGGTGGCCTGGTAGAGATGGGAGGAGAGCTGTAGGGGGTTGTGGCCCCAATCAATTAAATCCGCAGGCAAGCCCCTAGCAGGGGAATTTTCCCGGGGTATAAAACATTAAATGTGAGTGTTCACCATCAAACACCATAAACCTTGTTGTTTGCAACAAAAAGAATTCAAAGCTTTTTGCCCCCTTCAGCTTTATACAAATATCTTAACACCCTCCGACCCAGGAAAGTCTTTGTTTATACCAAGGTCCTGCTGCATTGTGGGAGCAGAAGTAAATTAAGTGGCCAACCCCATCCTGATTCCCTTTCTTCCCTACACCCAGGTTCTCTTTATAGCAGCTAAACTTTAAGCTCTGATGTCAGACCCCAGCCAATGGGGTAAAGTCAGTCTCTACCAGAGTTAGATTCAAAACCAACTGTGCGTCCTGCCCTGGTGTGTTCGAGGCCCATAGAACACCCTCTTGACCAGGACTAATGTTTGCTTTGTCTGGACACTAAAATGTGAGTCTCGTTCTTTTTTCTTGTTACCCCAAGCTTCTTTCTAACACTGGTATTTTGCAAGCAACAGGCCAAGGCCTGGCAATCCTTGCCCAAAGTTACAGGTGAGTAAGCAGAGGTAAAATGTGAACCTGGGTCTCTATGATTTCAGAACCTGCGGTGTCTGCACCCACCTCACTGCCTGGAGAGAAGCAGTGGAGGCTTGCTATGGCCTGGCACAGGGTACCAGAACCAGAGGACAGGAATCAAGCCCCAGTTTGGCATTCTGAGCTAGGGATTCTCCTGTGCCCTGAGGATCAGACTAGGAGACCAAAATGAACATATTATTACTCACCTGAGAGACATCCCAGTTAGGCGGTCACAGCAAACCCGTTGTGACAGGTGTTCGGCAGATTGTACAAAGTTAAGGGCCGGCAGGTACAAGGAGGTGTCTGTGGGAGAAATATAAAGCTGGTAAACCACAGTGGTATTTATAGACTCACCAAACCAGGAAAGAAACCGGCCCCTGGTCCTCTGGATTGCAGAAGCCAGCTTCAAATGTATGCACTGGGCTCCTCTACCAGCTCTTAGTAACCCCAATTTTTCTAGGACCTTGCTTGTCCTCAGCTTTGTGAGTCCATGCAAACTGCTGCGCCTTACAAGTCTGGTGAGGACAGTTAGCCAGCTGCCTCTGCAGACTGCAAAAGGTAGAAACAGCCACACTGTGGAGTTCTTTCTCTGACATTTAGAAAGAGGACTTTTGATGCTGTTGAAGCCTTGGGTTTGCACCTCAACTTCTCCTTTCATATGGAAAGTATCCAGCAGGGAACACAGGAGCCGTGGTAGCGCTTCTCTCACAAACAGAGCAGTGAATTGATGTTTGGGGGCTGGTGGTGCTCAGGAATTGAACTACATCTTTTAAAGCAATGCTTAAATTCCAGACCAGAAACTTGGTTCCCCTGAAGTCTAGTCAAATGGAAAAAATATGAGAAGCAGAACACGCCATCCTTAGAACCCTATACTTTGTCCATTTGGAAACAGAACCCACCTATCATCAAGAGCCTTCTAAACGTTAATGTGACTTTATTGGGAGCCAGAATTGTATATTCTATCATGTAACTCTCTTGTTTTATAACATAGGAAAGCACCTATATCTAGACAAAGAACATGAGGAATTCTGGGAACTTGGAATACATTCCGTCTAGAATGCTAGAGCTAAACAACCCTTAAGAATCGGTTTGTTCACATATAGGCATCCTCCTGAATATTAACCTTCATCAGGCGATGAAAGGAGACAGAGACCCACATTGGAGCACTGGACTGAAATCTCAAGGTCCAAATCAGGAGCAGAAGGAGAGAGAGCACGAGCAAGGAACTCAGGACCTCGAGGGGTGCACCCACACACTGAGACAATGAGGATGTTCTATCGGGAACTCACCAAGGCCAGC